TCTTTCTTATCGTCTTTCTTATCGTCTTTCTTATCGTCTTTCTTATCGTCTTTCTTATCGTCTTTCTTATCGTCTTTGCTTTCCAAAGTAATTATGCCAGCAAATTCAGACTCAAAAAATACCAACATACTTTTATGTCCTAGACTAACTTGGACTTCTGGCTTGGTCTCGTCAGGTAAGTTCCCAAAACCAAAAACCTCTAAATAAACTTTATCCTTATCAAAACTCAACTCGTAATTTTGGTTTTTACTATCTAAAAGGGCATCATAAGTTGCTTGTTCGGTATCATTTTTAAAGACAAAACCAAATTTTTCAAAAGAACCGTCAGTAGGATTACCAACCGCTTTATCTAAGGAACAAATTTGCGACATTAAGAAATCAGTTTGGACTTCTAATTCTACTCCTTTACATCCTGGGTTTAAATCATTAGCAGGAACTTTTTTGATACTCTTTTTTGTAAATGGGATTTTGATTTCTGTCATGTTGATTGTATACAATTTCTATTTTATAGTGTTTTTTTTTTTTTTGTCAAAAAAGCCTCAGCGATTAGAGGATTTTAATAAGAATTTTTCCTATCATTCAGCAATCCCTTTTTTAAAAAAAGCCCCCTCCGGGGTCTAAAAGGGATAAACAGCAAAGTATTATTAGAAGTCTAGGGATATCTAGGAGTAGATAACCATTGCCCTGGTATGGAGGGGATTTTGCTCCCACTCCTTGTTCCTTGTTGTCTTTCTGTTAGGTCTCGTTGGTAGTCATTGGTAGTTATCCAAAGAAAGCAAGAGAAAAAACAAAACAGCAAAACAAAAAAAGAGAACAAAACCAGGTCTAATGGAAATCTAGCCCAGGCTTTCTGTGCTATGTCCTACTCATTTTATTCCTCTACTTCCTAAGAAGTCTAGGGGTTATTCTTTCGGTATCACACTCCCCGTGCTTTCACACGGCTCCGACTTTTTTTGCTATCAGTTAAAATACTTCTTACTAAAAAATTAATATATTGTGTTTTGAGATTTTTCAGCAAGAGATATCTTAATTTATTTTATATTGCTTAGTTAAGTAAAATTATTAATATGTATGACAGGTAAAAATGCAAATATCTATTTCTCTGAGAAAACTTATGATAGACTTCGCCAAGTAGCGGGACCAAAAATTAGCCGTTTTGTTAATGAAGCAGTTGAGGAAAAATTACAGAAAAAACAGCAAGAGCAGAAAGAGGAGTTAAGGCAAAAACTAATTGCTGGTTATCAGGCCAACGTGAAAAACAAGGAATTGCAAAAGGAGTTAGAAATTTACGACGAAGCAATCGCAGACGGGTTAAGTGATGAAAAAAAGTAATAATTTTTCTAAACTTCCCAAACGGGGAGAAATTTGGTTAGTGGATTTTAATCGCAAGCAAGAAAAGGAGGAAAATAAGATACGTCCTGTTTTAATTATTAGTGATGATATTCAGAATGAGTTTGATAAATGAATAGTCGGAATTCCTATGACTACCAAGGATGTTGAGAATGTTCGGTTAGTTGAAGTCTTTGTCAAAAACACTCCGGAAACTGGCTTAGACTATCCCAGCAAACTCCAACTCAATTATCCTCGCACAATTGATAAGGAATTGCGTCTAATTGAGAAGTTAGGAATAGCTGACAAGGAGGTAATGGAAAAAGCCGTAGAGGCTTGAAAAATTGCTTTTGATACGCAAGATTGACAAAATCTCCCTTTCTAAAAGAAAGAACCAAAGAAAAATTTTCCCACCCTCCATTTTTTCCTCAAAAATTCCCCTTTTTTGCCCCCGGGAATTAGAGCGAAAACGCTCTACTCTTTTTTAAAAAGGAGACAATAGGCGGAAAATCATTAAAAAAACATTAAAATATAGGTATATTTGATAAATCATAAGTAAAAGCAATAAATTAAGTAAAAGAAAAATAAAATATTCCTTAAAAAGGACATAAAAAAGGGGTTAGGAAACTTGACCTTTTACTAACCTTGATTTTCAATTTTTTTGCTACTTTTTTTAAAGTAAGGGGAAACACGGACAAACATGACAACTAGACTAACCCAAGAGGAATATCAGAGGATAAAGGATATAAAGATATTGGACTTAGAAATCTGTGATTATAAGCATATCAACATCCTTAATTTAGGTTGGGAAACTTGGAGGAAATGGTATTGTAGTAAGCATGAGAGGGAGCATGTGCTTTGCCCTAATTTGTGTTTGCCGGTAGCGAGGAACATAATAGGTTGCGAATTGGTGAGGAGGAGAACCAGAACTAGACCAGAAGCACCGAAACCGAATAAACCTTATGACTTAGCGAATTGTTATTTGTGTGGTAAAGAGTTAAAGAGTGCTAGTAAAAAAAGTGTAATCAAAAACCGGAATAATCCTAGTTTTTGAGGAGTGAGTAGCAGTTATAAGATACTTTGTTTGAGGTGTGTGGGGAGGAAGTTTTATAGTAGATTAAGCAGTAGTAAGAAAAAGACTTGGAGGAAATATTTGGGGAGGGGGTATGTTTAATTACTGATAATAACCAATTAGGGGGAGCACGATACCGAATGTGTGAAGCCCTAATTGGTTATTATCAGTAATCAACTGCCAGCCAAAAGGAGACTTTATGGCTGGCTTGTCTTTAACTCTGTTAATTTTTGCTTAAAACCAGATTCATTTTTACAAACGAGATACTGGAATTAAAGCTCATTCTTAGGTTATTTAATCATTTTTTCTGGTTAATCCAACAATAGCAATAATAACAATTAGGAATATCAAAATTATTCCGCCACCAATCACCCAAGGAACCCAATTAATTTTATTTTCCTGAACAGTTTGGTCTTTTTTTTCTCAATCCTCCTCAACCAAAGTTCTTTTTTTGCCATTTAGTTTACCGTTTTTCAATAAATACTCCTTTATCTCAGCCAATTCACCTGATAAGTCAGATAATTCCTTAGTTGGTTTATCCTGCTTATACTCAATTATCAGCTTATTATTTTCCTCATCATAAGTAAGGTTTTTGATATCGTTGCTTTTACAATAATTTCGCACAACACTAATATCAGGAGATTTATCGTCTTTCTTATCGTCTTTCTTATCGTCTTTCTTATCGTCTTTCTTATCGTCTTTCTTATCGTCTTTCTTATC